CGTTCGACTGACGACAGCTAGAAGAGTTAACGTTCAGGCCAGAGTTCAGGATAACAGGACGATTCAGGACAGCAGGATTTTGTACAGGAGGAGCAGGATAAACAGGATTCATAGGAGGCAGGTTGTCTGGAAACCAGCGAGTGGAGTCTAAGTTCGCAGCCTGAAACTGACGTCGATCGAGGTGGCATTCAGGAGTGCACGTGTGACCTGCAGCCAAATGCTGAAAGGCGTGGGCACCTCTGGGGCCTTTGTAAGTCGAGGTGTTCAATACGGGGAGAGGGGGGAAACGGTGGCAAGCGGTGGCAAGCGGCGAAGTCCTTGAGAGATCGGAAGGCGGGAGGGTCGTCTGCCAAGGTGGCGATGAGAAAAGCGAAGGCTTCGGGATGGAAGGGGAAGGACATGATGGGGAGGTGTGGCGGAACAGGCAGAGCAGTGCAGATGAAGATGACAAGCAGGGAGCAAGGGGCCAACAACTTGAAGGGGCAGCAGCGAGCAGAGAAGAGTGACGGCGGCCGAGCAGGAACGTGACGTGTGAAAAAGGGCAATGATTGATACTGAACGCAACGTGCGTTTGATTCCGCCCCCTACGCTTTTTCTGGGTGGGAGAAAACAGCTGATAAGACCCTAACTGCGTTACGGGAATCTCTCTTATGTTGACGAGTGCTCATGAAGAGGGTGGAGCGACGAAGACAGCCTCTGTCCATTCCCACCATAGCCAGTCATGCCCGCCTGCTCATCTGTTTCTGTTCTTGGGACGAGATTAGACCATCAGCATTCCCTCGGCCTCGGACTCGGCTTGTCGGCGCTGCCGAGGACTTTGCTGACAATTGACGAAACGCCATGTCCCTCTTCTGTATACTGCACAGCAGTTGTGCTTATATCTCCCACCCCCACTACAGCACCTCTCTCCCACCACACCCCTCACCGATAATCTCCGACCATGCGTCCCTCTCAGCTCACCCGCGCCTCCCGTAGCCACAAGTAGTCATAATGCAACCTCAACACGTTGTCCGAGACTCCGAGTAGACACATCATTCTCATTCCATGCCCCTATTCCTATCTACACTCGTCTCACGTCCAAATCCATATATATAACCCCACCCATCACCCCCTCCCCTGCCCAAAAACCCCCCTAATAACTCCTCCCAAACAACGTCCAGCTCTTCGCCTTCTCCCCACACTGCACACACTTTTGCTTCTCCCCCTCGGGGAAGGCGCCGAAGCGTTCTTGGTCAAAGGGGATACAGAGCGACTTGGCGCCGGCGGAGGGGGCTTTGGAGTCTTCGGCGGCGCCTGCGGTGGACCTAAAGTACGAGTGTCGACGTGTCAGCCAAGCTCAACAACCAAGATCCAAGGGGGCAATAGAAGGAGGGGACGTACTGGCTCTTACTCCTCTCCTTAATCTCATCCTCACACTCGCTCCCCTCACACCACGGCAAAACCAACACATTCTTCCCATCCAACGCCGGCACCACCTCCTCCCACTGACTGACCACCTTCAACCTCTCCTCAAACGTCTCGCTTGCGCGCTTGAGCATGGACGCCTGGATGTCGGAGAGGTACGAGGTGACGGTGTTGGCAATGTCGGCGAGGGGGAAGGACGTCTTGTGGTTGTCGTATCGGCGGACGGAGAGGGTGGTCTTGGCGGCGATATCACGGGGACCGAGCTCGAGTCGGAGGGGAACACCCTACATCTTCATCAGCTCCCCCCCCCCAAAAAAAAAGAAAGGAAGACTCACTCGCATCTCCCAGTCGTTAAACTTCCATCCAGGCGTATACCCCTCCCTCAAATCCGCCTTCGCCCTAATCCCCGCCCCCGTCAAAGTCCTCTCCAACTCGTGACAAGCATCATAGATCCCCTCATTCTTCCCCTCCTGCTTGCTCAGCCCCACGGGCACAATCACCACCTGCTGCAACGCACACCTGGGGGGAAGCACGAGACCCTGGTCGTCCCCATGGACCATCACCATCACACCGATGGACCTAGTGGAAAGACCCCACGAGTTTTGGTGCGCATAGAGACGCTCGGGCGCGCCGGCGGAGCGGTCGGGGTTCTCGACGGTGATGTCAAACATCTTGGAAAAGTTCTGGCCGAGGTGGTGGGAAGTGGCGCCTTGGATACCGCGTCCGGTAGTAGGAATAAAGCCCTCGACGGTCGTCGTATAGTCGCCCCCCGCAAACTTTTCATTCTCCGACTTTTTCCCCGGAATCACCGGCACCGCCAAAATCTCCTCATACACCTTCTGATACAACCCCAGAATATCCAACACCTCCCTGTCCGCCTCGGCCTTTTGCAAGAACGCAGTGTGGCCCTCCTGCCAGAGGAACTCTCGGGTACGGAGGAAGGGCTGCGGGTTTTTGAATTCCCATCGGACGACCGAGTTCCACTGGTTGAGTTTGAGGGGGAGGTCGCGGTGCGAGTTGATCCACTTGGCGTAGTAGGGGTACATGACGGTTTCAGAGGTGGGTCGGATGGCGATGGGCTCTTCGAGGTCGGACTTGCCGCTAAAGTAAAAGTCAATAATGGAAGGGGAGGGAGAAAGGGGGGGGGGGGGACGTACGCTCGGGTGACCCAGGCGACTTCGGGAGCAAAACCTTCGATATGGTCCTTCTCCTTCTCGAGACGAGCGTTGGAGACAAACATGGGAAAGTAACAGTCCTGCACACCGAGCTTCTTGATCTCGTCGTCGAACCAGTCTACGTCGAATCAGCACAAGTCTACGCGAAGAGGGGGGTGGACGTACTCTGGATAGTCTGCCAGATGGAGTAAGACCAAGGTCGGAGGATGTAGCAACCAGAGATGTCGTAGTAGTCGAGCATCTGACCTTTGATGAGGACCTACGAACGAGTCAGCCAAGTCGAGAACGCACGAAAAGATACTCACGTCGGTGTACCAGCCGGAAAAGTCCTCGTCCTTCTTGTACTGGATGGCCATCTCGTACTTGTCGTCGGCGGGACCAGAGGGAACAACAGCCTTGGGCTCCTTAGGACTATACCATCGTCAGCCATCGCCCAAATCGAACGAAAAAGAAAACTCACGCAGGGGCCTTCTTCTCGACAGGCGCAGGGGCAGCAGCCTTGAGCTCTGCAAAGTCCACAACCTTGACACCCTCGCCGCCAGCAACATTGTCGAGGTACTTTTTGATCTCGCTGCCCTTGATAAGGACGGTAGTAGCGGAAGTCGTCAAGTGCAGGGCGAAAGCGTCCTCGGACTGCGCGAGCGCAGCATCGAGCAAGAGGTGGAGGGTCTCGGCCTTGGGAGCGGGGACAGCGAGGGCAGAGACGTCGTCCTTGGAGCCGGCGGAAGGAAGGACCTCCTTGATGAGGTCTTCAGAAGCGAGTCGGAGCTCCTTCAAGTCGAGGACCTTGCCCAAAGCGCCGGAAGGCGTCTCGGTGGCCTCGGAGGCGAGGACGAGGACGGGGGTGGGGACGGCGGACTTTGCGGTCTTGGGCTTGAAGAGGAGGGTCTTGGTGAGGAGGGTGTTGGCGAGGGAGGGGTGGTGGATGACGAGCTGGGCGCGCCATTCGGTCGAGTTTTTGACAGGGGCGTGGGAGATGACCTCGGGATGTGGGATTTTGAGGTCGGCGAGGCGGGCGAGGATGGATGCGTCGGTGGCGGCCATGGTGTGCAGGCGGGGGAGTGCTCGTGTGACTGTCGCGAGCCGGGGAAGCATCAACTGGGGAGCGCAGAAATACTGCCGAGTCGTGAAAAGTGTTTCGAGCAAGAGCGTGTTTACGTAAGTGTTGGCGGTGGGTGCCGCCGACCATACTTCCTTCTGCCTTACTCTACTCTACTCTACTATCACTATCGCCCTCGCCATGTCTGCCCGCCTCGCACGGTCCCTGGGGCTGCATCCGATCCCGCTCCGCCCTCTTCCGCCCCGCCGCCCAATACACTCCTCGGCAATCACACGATCGCCCACTGCCGGCGGGAACCACCAGCTGTCGAATCACACCCAGCAGGGACAGAGGCAGCATAGCCATAAGCCGAATAATGCACATGCTAATTGGTATCGAGAGATTGTGCCTGGTGAGTAATAGTCATTGGGAAGGGGGTGGGAAGGGGGCTGCGAGCGAAGCGAGCAGTATATCCCTCGAGCCTAGCCAGTAATCATTGGCGTTCGCTCGCACTATAACCCCCAATCACAAAACCATACTAACCCCGCCTCTAGCCATGCTCCCCATATTCGTCCTCTCCACCACCCTCTTCCTCTCCCTCTCTCTCCTCCGCACCTACCTCTCCCACGCCTACTCTCTCGCCCAGTCCGAAACGCGCATATCAGAGCTCGAGGGGGAGTTGGAAGAGTTGAGAAGGGAGCAGAGGAGGCAGAGGTGGAGGGAGAAGAGGGAGAGGGAGAGGATGTTGCCGATGGTGGTGGAGAGGGTGTTGCAGAGGGTCGGGGTGGTGGGGGGAGAGGAGGAGGAGGAGGAAAGAGTCATTTAGGCTGCGAGCGAAGCGAGCAGTATATCCCGAGCCGCTATTATTGGGAAGGTATATCCTTCGAGCCGCTATCATTGGGAAGGTGTATCCTTCGGGCGAGTAGTGTAATCAAGAGAGTACAGTAACGACTTTGTATTCATGCAAACCTCCCAACCACTCCCCACGCTCACTTGCCCGGCGCAACCTCCCCACACTCCCCACACCTCCTCCACTCTTCATCCCCCATCCATCTCTCGATCACCGGCTTCAACTGCGTATCCAGATCCGAGCAGTGGAACGTCACTTCCCTAATCTGCGTGAGCGCGGTGTGCGTAGGGTTGGGGCAGTACCATCGCATCTTGTCTGTGGTAAGAGTCAGCATGGGGTCTTTCCATCGAGGAGCGGGAGGGGGAAAGAGGTGAAATGGGAAGAAGGGAAGAAAGCGTACCGATAGCATCTCCCGGACGGATAAGCTCCATAACAACCCCAATCGTATCCGCAACCCTCCTAGGCGAATGCGGCGTGTTTGCTACAGCTTAATATCAGCTCTGGTCCCATCATCCCATACCCTCCCCCACCTAAATCCACCCCCGCCCCCGACCTTCTCCATTCCATACCCCTAGAAGAAAAGAACGCACCAGGCAACAAAAACATATCCCCCTCCCCAATCACAATATCCCTAATCTCCCCCTCATCCACCACCTTCAGCACCATCGCCCCTTTGTACTGGTAGAACCATTCTTCCGTCGTGTTGATGTGGAAATCGACCCGGGTGTTGGGCCCGCCGACGATCATGGTGATAAAGTTTTCGCCTTTGTAGAGGCATTTGTTGCCTTTTTCGCGTCATTCGTCAGAGATTGGAGAAGGGAGGGGGAGAAGCGAGGGGGAGGAGAGAAAAAATCAGCTCAAGACTTTTCTTACCAAAGAACAGAGAACAGAGAAAATGGACGTACCAACAGGCGGTTTCAGTAAATGCTTGTTCTCTTCGATCCATTTCGGAAAGTTGATAGGCGACTGGAGCGGCATCTTGTCTGTATGTGTTTTGGAAAAAGGGGGGAGAATGGATTTGACGGGGGGGTGGATACGGTTGCTGACTAAAAGCAAGAATAAATAGATACGTACGCGCAGACTCGGAAGCTCGGAACTGGTATCGGTCATCGCCGGAAGCCTCCACTTTCGACGACCGCTTTTGCCCTGCTCGTAACGTGCGTCGTGTGGTGTCTGTGACGGCCTCGTACTGTATACTATTGTATATATACATAATGACATCCAAGATCCAAGACGACAACATCCAAGTACACATTCCCATCATTCCAGCACGTTCTTCTCAAACCAGATCCTTCCCCCGCCCAAGCTTCTCCTCCTTCCACTGCGCAAGCCACTCGCTCACAAACAGCTTTTCAAACTCGTGCACATCCCTGATCCGTGCCGGTTCTTTCGAGTGGTCGGTTATACCGTTTTCGTCGTAGTGATGGACTCCGTCTACCAGTGGGTCAGCGCTCTTCCTCTTCTAGAACAACATCGAACGTGATGGAGTGGGGAGGGGAATCAAAAGAATGAGAAAGGGGATAGCGACTCACCAAAGATAATATGCACAGGCCTATTCACCGAACTCTTCCTCCTCTCCGCCAAATCACTCTGCGGCGTAACAACCCTCCACGGATCCCGATCCCCATCAATAAACGCCAGCCTATCCGCTTCAATCCCATAATCACCCCTCTTGTTCACTTCCTCCACATCGGGCACGTCGGGGATGGAGAAGAATTTGCCAGGGGGGAAGGCGGCGGGGCAGATTTGTTGGGTGAAGGCGAGGGTGAGGTGGCGGGAGACTATGGTGGGGAGAGGGGCGGGAGGAGCGGGCATAAAGTAGCCCCATTGGGTGCAGACTGTCGAAATGTCAGTGACATTTCTTTCATCTTTGACAATGAACTAGAGACAGCGCGATGTACGGTTGGTGGGAAGGAGAGGGCGGGGCAAGTGAATACGAAAAGAACGAGACATGCAATAGGACTCACCTTGGAAGATCCACAGCCTCCATGTCTGGCTCAAGTCTGTGTATCTAAACTTTTCCACGTCGTCGCTGCCGAAACACTAGGTCAAAAGTCGTCAGCGTCCGACCTGAGGTTTCAGAAAGAGACGAGAAGAGGAGAGATGGAGAGAAGAGAGGGCCGAGAGTGATGAGAGTCAACGTACATCATCGACGTCGTCCGAGGGACATTCCGCAACGACAGTCTACGTTGTGACATCAGTGCAAACCCGACAAGGACATGACGAATGGACGTACTTTTTTTATATACTTGGCATAGTTCAGCACCGACGCGGGCCTACATCGAGTCAGCAAATATGATCAACCAAGTGATAGATAGGACAGGGTGGTAAGGGATGAAAGGAGAGGACATACACGCTGATAAGCCCAATCTTGCTACCAGCGCCGCCAGCGGTAAGGGCATCGCAAAACTCGTAAAATTCCATCGACCCAACTACGCCCCGCGTCAGCAATCGTCAGTCCCGAGAAGCAAATCAACATACCTTCATCATCCCAATTCTTCGCCTGCCAATACCCCAACGGCGAACTAATGACATCCGCAAAATCACCATCCCCCAACACTCCAAGCCCAAATAGTCCCTTCAACGCATCTTTCATAACCTTAGGGTGGTCAAGCATAGTGTCGATGAAGGCTACGGCCGATTGGAGGGTGGATATACATTCTGGGGGAGCGTATTGCTGGATGGGGTCGTAGTATTCGGGAAAGACGACTTGAGCGTGGGTGACGCCTGAGTGGGTGTCAGCTTAGCCGAAGAGCGCGCGCGAAGACACGGAGAAAAGAGAGTGATGATGAGATGAGCGACATACCGGAAGACGCTATAGCACCCCATACCAGATCCGGGTACTGCACCCTCATATGCGCCGCCCTCGCACCAGCGTATGACCCGCCATAGTAGATCCAGGGAGTGTTGTTGGGATGGAAAGAGTATTCGTCCAGGTCGAGGGAAGAGGGGGGTTTGAAATTCTCAATGAACTATGCCAGAGTCAGAGACGAGGGACAAGAGGAGAAAAAGGGGATGGACGTAGGCAGAGTCTTCAAGGGCTTCGGCGTTGTTGAGGAAACGAAGGTCGTCAGTGGAGAAAGACTCGACCGGTACCGAGTCTCCGTAATATCTATCACTTGTCAGCTCGATCCTACGTCTCAGAGCAGCTCCTCACCTATGCTCCAGGACGATGGAAAGTCCGTCAGTCGCATTGCCCAGAATTTCCAAAATGCCAGTTTCCAAGAACGGATTCCTATATACCGATTAACTTCGCAAACATTGACCGATGAGGGGAGAAGGGACATACCTGTTCTCGCCGCTAGTCTCGCCGCCATCCAGCAGGTAGACAGGTCCCCCAGGCTTGTAATGACTGGCATCGAGCCAATACCGCTGGCAGAAAGTACCGTTGATGCTCTCGTCGAAATGGCTAATCTTCTGTGGGAAGCAGTGGGATCTGGCGAGGGGACTAGTAGGCCTGAATGAAGTTTGTGCGCTATGGTCCTAGTCAGTAAGAGCTGAGGCGATATTGGAGGCACGTACGAGTGATCTGCGTCGTGCTGCTCCCGTAACAACGCCTGCCAAAGCGCTACCTGTGGACGTCCCTGATGCAGCAGCCGCTGGTGTGTCTGAGCGTCAAGCTGAGGTTTCGCGCTCGCCCCGACTGCGAGTGCAGCTACGATAGGTAAGAGAAGCATGATAGATGTCGAGGAATGAAAGAGGACATGAGCGCAACACGGCTTTGGCTTCGGGCCGCCTTCGGCCCACTTATCGGGCATCTCCGCCCACATGGCAAGCTCCGGCCGGATTGCAGGCTCCGCCCGGGTGCCTCCACCAGCCAACCACCAGCGCTGTCCATCTCGGCCTGTTTTGCTCTCTCAACTTGCGTTACTTTCGGATATGCCCTGGATATTGGTCAGTGGATATGAGGACAGCACCCTGAGCGCCCAGTTGCGTGCTTTCCGTCAAGCTATGTATATATAAAGGCTTATCTGCGTCGCGGCAACGTCGCGGCGTCGCCCATTCCGCCTACTCGTTCATCTCATCGCTACTGACTATACAATAATAACGCCATGTCCAGCCCCTCGACATCCTCGGAAAACTCTCAGTTTACCACCCCCGCCTCTTCTCTCGCCTCACCTTTACTTTCCTCCACCCACATTACTCCGAAACCGAAAGTCCTCCTCATCGGTGATTTTTGCGGTATCCCGAAATATGATAACCTCATTCGCGAGATTGCAGACGTCCACACTATGCCCCGATGCGGCTATACCGAGACTGCAGCGCTTATCAAACAAAAGGTTGAAGAGGAAGGAAGCTTTGTCGCTTTTGGTGTATGTACATGACCCTCTTTGAACGTAACCTGCGCTGACACTCGTATATAGGGCCTCTTTGTCATCACCGACAACTTCCCCTCACTATGGGATGCCGGCCTCCTCTCCCCCCTCCTCCCCGCATGCAGACTCTTTGTCGGCCCCGGCGCAGGATACGACAAAGTCGACATTCCCTACCTCTCCTCCCACGGCGCTCTCTACGCCAACTCCCCCCATGCTGTTGGAGAACGTACCGCCGACGGGGCTCTGGGTCTCGTCCTAGCTGCAGCGAGAGGTATTGTACGATATGATATAGGTGTGAGATCAGGGGGATGGAGGGATGTGGGTGTGAAGAGTGTTGATTGGCGTAATGCCAAAGTACGTTCTCTTTCAATGCCCTAGGCAACGTTGACTGACGAAACGCAGATCGGTATCGTCGGGCTCGGCGCTATCGGCCTCCGTCTCTCCACTCTCCTCACATCCCTCTCTTCCACCCTGCAAATCCATTATCACTCCCGCCACCTCTCATCCTCCCATCTCGCCACGTCCTACACCTATCACTCTACGCTTTCCAACCTCCTCCCTGTCGTCGACATTCTCGTCCTCACGTGCCCGTTGACAAAAGCGACAGAAGGCATTATAGGGGAGGAAGCGTTCAAGCAGATGAAAGACGGAGTTATTGTCGTGAATGTGTCGAGGGGAAAGGTCATCGTCGAAGACGAGCTGGTCAAAGCTCTTGAGAGCGGTAAAGGTAAGTCTCGTTCCCGATCTGCTGCCTCTCCATCTCTTCATCTACCTTAATCTTTCCTTCTTTCGCCATCGTGCTAGGACTCATTCTGCCCTGTATATGTGATAGCTAACAACCATTAGTGCTTCGAGCGGCTTTGGACGTATTCGAGAACGAACCCCAAGTCCACGCCGGTCTTCTCTCCAACCCCAACGTCGTACGTCCCTCTAAACTCCCCCTTCCCCATCCCCTTCCCCTCATCTTCCCCCTTTCCTCCCGTCCTATATCTCCCTCGTCACATTTCTCCTCGGCCCCCTCCCGGGAAAAGCGAACTGACATCATACACAGACACTCTCCCCCCACGTAGCCCCCGCCCCCGACTCCATGGGCCCCGCCCTCAACGCCGAAGTCCTCGAAAACATCATCCACTACCTGCAATCTCCCTCCGGTTTACCGCTCACGCCCGTCAACGTTGATCAGGTGGAAGCTTTGGGGTTCACGACGGGGGCGAGGCGGGAGGTGTAATGTACGAGCAATGGTGCGATGGTGTGAGGGAGAGAGGGAGCGAAGAGGAGAGGTGGGAGCGTGCCAGTGTTGCGCAAGTATAGAGCTTGATGTTACGATAGTTCAAGGGTATGAGTATAAGACGTTTGCGATATGCACCAGGACGTTATAAGACATGAGCCATACATTCCAACATCCAAAGTCTTGTACTGAATTATTTCACTTTATGCTCCCGGTCTACGTATTCAGGTTCGTGTAAAAGTGTAACATGGCCATGGGCCCTCATCATTCAACGACGCCAGCGGACGTGCGGGGTGTCTTTGCCGAGGTGGTGCGACGCCATGTCAATTCGTTCGCGTTGAGCACTGTCCTTCCTTTCCGCCCGCGATTCCATATCATTTTCAAGATAGTATTCATTCCTCCGCGTGGACATTTGCTCGCCTATCCCTTCCTCGTCCATTTCCAACATATATCCTTCATCTACTATACTGCAGCAGAATTCTTATGGACAGAGACGACGCAAACTTGATTGGGGCATTGCTGGATGAGCTTGACCTACGGGATGCTCAAGGTGAGTGCTATCTGGCAATACAAAGAGAGCCAAGGCTGACTCGTGTTGATTCGACAGCTCCGAGTTTTGACAGCTTTTCTGATCTGTCCGCATCGCCCCTCTTTTCTCTTCCATCGCCAGCTCAGGCGCAAGCTCTACCAGCTCGGCTACGAGATCTACGGATACAAGCGGGCTCGAAGGTGCTGGTATGTCCGTCCTCCATCCCTCGTCTGTGATCTCAAAGTGCAACACTGACAGTCGCAGATGCCATATGCGAGGATCAACCATCTTGTTCCGCGAAACGACCCCCTTCCGCCGACAACCTTCCCTCTTCCATACACCCCGACTACTCCCTTCAGACAGGCAATGACTTTCTGCTGGTGACCGACGACGACGTCGGCTTCTACGTCGATCGAGATTTTCTCCTGTGTCACTCTGAACTCTTCCATGATTTCGAAAATATGGCGTGCGATATCAGCAACAAAGACGCGATTGGCGATTGCATCAAGAGCAGTGTCGTACGCAGAGATATGCCCGGAGCGCTGTCAAAAGGTTTACGAGTTGTCTTGCTCAACAGCGCCGATACCGATAGCACGTGGCCAGACTTTCACGACTTCGACAACGAATCGGATTGGTCTCCTCAACGCCAAACATGGCCGTACACCCTCGAAGACCTAGCCCTCGCTATCAAGATCGCCAACCAGTACGGCTTCACCTCATTCTCCTCCCAGGCTCACTCGAAAGCCCCAAGAAAGTCTCTCTGGTTTCAGTACCTCCTCGCAGCATTCGAATCCGACGAAAGAGGGGCAAATGCGATTGCAAAGTCGACTTTATACTTCAACCTCGAGACATGCTGTCCACTGGCCCTCCTGTCCATTCTCGACAAACACAACGCCCCATACGCTACCCTTCTCAGAGACATACACGACTTTGTCCTTCTTCAAAGGATTTATAGGTCTCATAGATAAGGAAGAAGAAGACATATGGAAGATTACTACTATGGCATACTCCAGCGTGGACGTCCGGCGGCCATCTCCTCAATCCTTTCTTCCCAGACACATCACAACAGTCCTTTCGTTCCATCCTCACGACCCAGATACTTGTCATCTCTCCCTTCTGCCAATCACGACCCCTTGCAGCAGGCGCAAGCCGCCTTCGAAAATGAAAGAAAAGCAGAGCTAGGCGGGGTAAAGTGTTCTAATAAGGGAAGCGCAGGCTGTTGGTGGGAGACTGCTAGCAGGTCAGGCGGGGATGTTATTTGAGACTGTTTCACCTGCAATTGCACGGATGACAGAGACGAGCTGTCGGGGGACGAAATTGAAGCCGAAATCAGCATCGTTGTAAAGTGTGTTGAGTGCCGCCAATCCGTATTACGATTTTTCAAGACGCTGTGGGACATTTTGTCAGCGCACTGGCAGTAACAGATGATGGAGTCTTTCATGAGTGTATACAGTCTTCGAATGTAATGGTATTTGACTTCAAATGCAAACGTTACCGAGTCTCGTAGACTCTCCCAGTGGCGGCTATTCATCATTCTTCATCACTCTTCATCACCCAACGTCGCCTACTTGCAGCATAGCCAAACTCAAAAGAGAACCCGATGTACAGTTTGAGTAGTACTTCACGGTCGTACGCCCACTACGTTCGGGTTCCAGTGGCTTGGCTGCGTGGTCGTCTTTCAACGGAAACATTCGCGTAGTACGACATCTATCTATCGTTCCCGCTTACCTTCCCATCTACTTTCCCAGCTTTGAAACATCTCTCTGGAACTATATGTTGGATTCTGGAGTTCAGTACGCAGGACGCTGCGAGTATAGACGTATACGGTAGACAAGTAGTTACGTAACGTAGCGGGACCAAATGCCAAATGTGGCACGGGAAGGTTCAGGGACGCGCAGCGGGGTGTGTTGTGGAGCCTGTTGTGCTTTCTCATGCTCTTTCATCTTACCAGGTGATAGGTGCTGGAGACTGTACAACAGGTATGTAATGCATTCATCTTACCAGGTGATAGGTGCTGAAGACTGTACAACAGGTATGTAATGCATTCTTCTTACCAGGTGATAGGTGCTGAAGACTGTACAACAGTATTCAATAGATTAGAAGTCAGATTGCTCTTACCATTGGGCATCACTTCCTATCGCCGGCTAAGCCACTGGTTGAAGATCGGCACTCCACAAGAAATAATTATCCCCACATCAAACCCCAACACCGAACGCCATGGCCACCGTAGGCAAGGTCGT